ACACACACACACACACACACACACACATATATATATATATATATATATATATATATATATATATATATATTAAAAATTGAATCCAAACATTAAAAAAAGAATATAGTACCAGACACTATGAGGCGTCTTGTCGAAATAGGCGAATTCCATATGTTTTAGATATTAGTTATAGAAATAGTCGAATTCCATATGTTTCTCAAGTTTTAATGTTAATGAAGTACGATTTTTCTTTCATTTTATTCTAACTGGCTTCAAGGACATTCAGTAATTTCAAGTTCGTATATATGTATAAACTTTGAAATTTTTATCATTTATTAGTTTTTAACTTTTTTTAATTAAATTGGATCGGCCCATTAGGCTCCGGATTAAGGGTTACGGGTCCGGATCGCGTCAACATGTTTTGATTAATGGGTCAAATCCGGGCCGGGCCCTATAAGAAAGTGAACCGGACCGATTAAGGATCCATAGGCCAAGAGTCAAAGGGTTCGGGTCGACCCATTTAACAGGTCTAGTTTTCTATGATCATGTTTCAAACCATACACGCATCTAACTCATCCATCAAGGGCGGGGATAGAAGTCTAGTTACCGAATCAGTAGTTTTTACTTAAATAGTATAACGTGATCATATATGTATTATCTATTACAACAAATAATATAAAAGGAGGTTTTCAATGAGAGATCTAAAAACTTTTTTTGTTGTGGCACCGGTACAATACGTTATGGTTCGGGGCTTTAGCAGGTCTATTAGAAGTGAAGGGAGAGCCCTAATTGGTGGAAAAAAATCCACAATCCCTTGGGATTACCTTGCATTTGGAAGAAGAAGTAGAAAAAGGAATAAATATACTGTAGTGATAATTTGATTCTTCGTCGCCGTAGTAAATATGAGAGAAAGCAATCAAGCTCCCTTCTGCCTTTGCACTCGAGGGCCAATCTCCGTCCGGAAGAAACCTTTGCACGCCTCTATTACATTTTGGGAGGCCTAAGCCCCAGAGAAACTGTCTACCTGAGATCATCCCTTGGCCCGTAGTTCCTGACACAAGGTTAGAATATTAAAATTTTATTAAATATATATAAATATTAAATTTAAAACTTAATCATTAGCACTTAAAGTCATCGTTCTATAATTCAATGCGTATAAAACTAAAATTCTGGTTCCATTTTTGTCCAAAACCTGGCATCACCTCAATGGTGAAACGTCAGAAGACCTTTCATCTTACAATCAAATTGAAGAGTCAATTCTTCAAAATCACACAATCAAAAGTAGTGAAAAGGGGATAAGGTACACTGTTCAATTATCAGGCCATAGCCTACAAAAAAGAAATCAGTTGATATTTTATTAAAATAGCTTTTTTTTTTTCTTTTTTTTCTTTTGGGTGTGTGGTTTTTACAAAAGGAAGATATGCCCTCAATTCTCAAAGAAGGCCAATCCTCTTTTTGCAAGCTGCAAAAATATTTACAACCTTGACTAAAAAGTCAGTTCGATCTAAAGGTGTTAATCGGACCGGGCTGACCCGCTAACAACCCGGTTCAACCCGAGTCAGCCCGGTCCAGTCCGTTACTGTAGCAAAAAAAGCGGGTTGGGACGGGTTGGGCGGGGGGCGGGCTACAAACGTTAATTTTTTTTTAAACGGGTGACCGAACCCGCTGCAACCCGTTAAGCCCTTAACGGGTTCTTAACGGGTTACAGCCCGGTTCAGCCCGTTAACCCGTAATATAATTTTTTTTTAATTAAAATCTGACCATTGCCAACGGTCAAATACCAAAAGAGACCATTGGCCAACGGGTTTTTCTGCTCCAACAGCCACTTTTTTTCTTCTTTATTTATATTTTAGCCTCCCACCCCTTATAATTTGTAAATTGCAATTGTAGCCTTTTAAAAACTATAAATACCCCCCTTTCTTCTTCATTATTCCTCACAATTCAATTCATTTTCTCTCTAATTCTCTCTCAATTCTCTCTTGGTAATATTCCCAATTACTCATTATTTCAAGCTTTCAACTTTCAAGTTTCATCAAATATTTAGTTTTGTCATTACAAAATTATTATTATCATAAATTTCTAATTCAATTATTCAAGTGAAGTGTGGCATCAATTATCAAGTATCAAGTTATCAATTGAAGTTTGAGTTTCTACTTTCTATATCAAATTTAGTGCGGCATTCGGAATCCCCGTATACTCGTTCCATCACTTTCTCTTTATTATTTAGAATTATTATTTGAATTTTTTATTTTAAATTACATAATGGATTTACTTAGAGCGGCCAAAAAAGCTTGCACTACTAGTAGAGGTGGTAGTAAGAAAAATTCCAAAAGAATAAGAGGTGGTTCTTCTTCTAGTAGTTTTACACATGTTTCTGAAAGTTCACCCGAAAATGTAAATGTAGATTATGAGCTACTTCAAGAAAATTATGGTATTGATGATGATTTAGATGATATTTTAAATGATATTCCATCACCCGATAATCTTGAAACACCACCACCTACACCCGGTAATGCTAGTCAAACACAAAATATTAGGGGTGGAAGTGCAAGTAAACCTCCTTTGCCTATTAAAAAGAATCGAAGATTAAGAAGTAAGTGTTGGAATTTTTTTGATAGACTAGAAAATGAGAAAAATTATGTAAAATGTAAAATATGTAAGGAAGTTTATAAACATGAGCCTGGTAAGAATGGAGGAACGGGTCAACTTCGTAGGCACATGGAAGAAATTCACCCTATTGACTGGGGAGTAGGCGATGAAGGTGGGCAACAAAAACTTAACCCGACCACTGGGGGGTTATTGGGTAAATACGATATTAAAAAAGACCGAGAAGAATTAGCTAAAATGATTGTTTTAGGTTGTTTACCTTTTAATTTTGCTTCTTCACCATATCTTGTTACTTATATTCAAAGAATTTATAACCCTATGTTTAAAGGTATTCCTAGAAGTACTTGTAGATCTGATATCTTTAGGCTTTATGGACAATATCAGACATATATACGTTATTTGTTCGCAAGTCTTCCTTGTAAAGTTTCTCTTACTTCTGATATTGGTCGTGCTGTAAATGAAAATGATTATTTAACTGTTACATGCCATTGGATAGATGATAATTTTTGTATGCAAAAACGTATTATTGCTTTTAAATATGATGAAGATCAAAGTCATACCGGTGCATTTATAAGTAATACTATCCATGAAGTTGCTTTATTTTATAATTTTTCTGAAAAAGTTTTGTGTATGTCATTTGATAATGCTTCTAACAACAATTCTGCTATTACATTACTAAAATTGCATCTACACCCACCACTTCCTGAAATATTTCATATTAGATGTGCATGTCATATTTATAACTTAATTGTGAAGAGTGGCCTTGACTTATTTCACAATGAAATCTTTTTAGTTAGGAGAGCTGTTGGTGTAATGCAAGGAAATAATAGAAGTGCTAGATTAAATGCATTTAAGGAAAAATGTGTACACTATGGACTAAAACCAAGACTCATGCCTGAAGAAATAGTTACTAGGTGGAATTATACTTATTTATTCCTAAGATGTTGTTATAAATATAGAATGCCTATAACTGAAGTTGCTAATTCTCATTGTACCGATCCTAACCGTTTGTTAACATCTAAAACTTGGGATGTCATTGAAGATGTTGTAAAGTTTTTACAAAAATTTTATGTGGCTACACTTGAGTTTTCCGGAGCTTATTATCCTAATATTGTAAATGGTTTAGTTCATATTGCTGAAATTTCTCTTTTACTACATAAGTTGAAGACGAAAGACGGATATACTGCTGTTGTTGCACAAATGCTAGATAAGTTTAAAAAATATTTCTTCCCAATTCCCCCTATTTTTCTAATTGGTGCTATTTTAAACCCTACTATCAAAATGATAAAGTGTCGCCAATTAATCAGTGCTTTATATACTTATATGGACATTGGAGCAACTGAAACTCCTGATAGTGAGACTTGTATTTCTGATCTGCACAAACATTTACAAATTTTGTATAATTATTACGCTAACATTGTTGATGCTTCTTCGGTTGTAGATGCAAATATTCCTTCAACTAATACTTCAACATCTGGAACAAATTTGGAAGATGATGATAATGTTCAAGATTATTTGATTTGGTCTACACTAGGAGAGCATCAACAAACCAGTAGCCGGAATATTGATGAACTCCAATTCTACTTGCAAAAGTCACCGGAGCCCCTCACAAAGGATTTTCTACCTCTGAGTTGGTGGAGGAGCAACTCAAATCAGTTTCCTGTTCTTTCGGCCATGGCTTGAGACGTTCTAAATGTGCCTATTTTGAACAGTCGCATCAGAGAGCGCATTTAGCCAAGCAAGACAGCAGCTAGGAGATACCCGTCATTCATTGGGCAGCAACGCTTTGGAAGTTCTAGTGTGCTTCAGAGATTGGATTAGATCAGAACGGCGAAATCAAGGGCGTGACGAGGTAGATGAAGAGGAAGACCAAGAAATTGGAGATATAATGGTTTATGGTACCGATTATAAAACCGGAAACCAAGAACCTCACATTGACATGGAAGAGCTTTCAAAGATGATGCAAAACATATGATTTACTATTTCTTCTTTTTTTTAAACTTTTAATTTGCAAGTTCAAAAATTTTAAAAATCAAAAAAGAACTTGCAAATTAATTTGAAGTATTATATTATTCAATAAAAATATCAAAGTTACTTAAATATTGTGATTTTTTTATATTGCATATTAGTCTTATTCAATATTTTTTATATAGACACTTACTTTCTATTTTCAAATTTAGAATTTTTTAGTTTGTTCTTTTAATTCTAACCCTTAAAAGTTCAATTCTACTCTTTAATTTTAACCCTTAAAAGTTTCAATAACATTGAAAAAGAAAAATATAACTTAATTTAAAAAAAAAAATTATATATAGCCCGACCCGTCCGAGCCCGTTAAACCCGCACCCGTACGGGCCTTATAGAACCCGAAAAATCCCAGCCCGCCGCCAACCCGTTAACCCCAGCCCGATAACAACCCGCCCCGAACCCGTACGGGCTCACGTTTTTTTTTTTGTCCAGCCCGTCCCAGCCCGCCCGATTAACACCTTTGGTTCGGTCCACAAAGTATCCTGTATTTTGATAAAGAACAGAAACCTAAGGGTGTCATGTCGGCAGTTTACTCGAACAAAGGCGTCAATGGCAGATTCAACAGTCGAACCCTTGACTAAGCAATGAAATTCTAACTAAGGAATCACTCAACAGCAAACACAAAAACAAACATTTTCAAGAAACCACAATTGGATTAAAGGAACTATCAAAGGATGCAACAACAGAAGCCTAGTTTCATTTCAAGAGACCAACTTCAAATTCAGTCTCAATATCAATAAACACATCTAAAAACAAGAAGAACAAGAACAAAACTAAACAAATTCAATCTAACACATGAATCTATAGGTACTAGTAACTCAAGCAAGAGTTGAATTCTCAGGTGCTGATGTCCATAGAATATCCTTAAGAGCTGGCCTAAGCTCTTTGCTGCAAAACTGGTTGTACTCTAATGTATCACCACTTGCTTTCTTCACTTCCACAACCAAAAATGAAGGTGTCACAGCAAATATATCAGCAGCAATTCCTAATTTCCCTTTTCTCCCACTCTCTTGCCCTTGCAATCTAACACTAGAATCACTCCTCTTTAAACTGAATTTCGTCGTCTTCGCCACTTCTTCTAGCTTTGATATCACACTACTAGCTGGCTTTGTTGTTGCAAACCTCAATTGTTCCTTCTCCATCTTCTTCTTTTCCTCAAACAAAGGTGATAAATCAAACCCCTCCGATAAAGATATGATATGAAAAGCATTTAAAGACTCAATCGTTTTCGCCTTTCCTACGCCAAATTCTTCTTCCTCCTTGGTCTTCAATGTATTTGGCACAGATTTCTTAAACCAAGAGGAATCCATAATCTTTGAAGCAGTGATTCGAGTACACGGATTCGGATCCAACATTCTTGTTATCAACTTTCTTGCATCTGATGAAAACCAAGGTGGACACTTAAAATCACCCCTATGAATTTTCTTATACATAGCCATAATATTCTCATCTTGAAATGGTAAAAAACCAGCTATAAGCACATAAAGAATTACACCACATGACCAAATATCAGCTGTTGCACCATTATAGCCATTATTACCAATAACTTCAGGTGCAACATAAGCAGGGGTACCACAAGTTGTATGTAACAAACCATCTTGCCTTAAATGATCCGAAAACGCGCTAAGCCCAAAATCTGTTACCTTAAGATTACCTTCTTCATCTAACAACAAATTCTCAGGCTTTAAATCCCTATGATAAACTCCGCGGCTATGACAAAAATCAATAGCTGAAATCAATTGCTGAAAATAGCCACGTGCTATATCTTCTCTTAACCTTCCTTTGGCAACCTTCGCGAACAATTCACCACCTTTAACAAATTCCATGGCGAAGTAAATCTTTGATTTACTCGCCATAACCTCGTGAAGCTCAACTATATTTGGGTGTTTCACCATTTTCATAACGGAGATTTCTCGTTTGATTTGCTCCATCATTCCTACTTTTATCACCTTCTCTTTCCCTACTACTTTCATGGCTATATTTTCCCCTGTAACCACGTTACGAGAATGGTACACTTTTGCAAAAGTACCTTGGCCTAAAATTCGTCCCAGCTCATATTTTCCGTACAAAACTCCATTCTTTTCTTCTGGCCCCATTAGAAAAGACTGAAAAGGGTGTTTGTTTTTGGCAAAAAAGATGGCTTTTTTGAAGCAAATATTGAAAAGGGTGTTTGTTTTTTGCAAAAATGACCTGTTTTTTTAACAGAAGGTTGAAAAGGGTGTTAGTTTTGCAGAAAGATTGTGTTTTGAGCAACTTTTCTGAAGCAAGACTGAAAAGGGTGTTTGTTTTGTGCGAACAAGATTGCTTTTTTGAAGCAAATATTGAAAAGGGTGTTTGTTTTTTTTGCAAAAATGACCTGTTTTTTGAACACAAGGTTGAAAAGGGTGTTAGTTTTGCAAAAAAGATTGTTTTTTTGAGCAACTTTTCTGAAGCAAGATTGAAAAGGGTGTTTGTTTTTTCAAAGAAAAGATTGATGGGTCTATATGGGAGGTGAAAATGGGGAGTGGGTGGGTGGGTTCAAGAACCTTCAGAAAAAAGATTGACGTGTTTCCGGTGGCAATTCCGGCCGCCGGCGAGGGAGATTTGGGGCTTACAGCCTCCTAAAAGGGTATTAGAAAATGGGGATTCTCTTACCATCTCTCTGCATTCCCTAAATAGGATTTCACTCTCCACAAACTGGAAAGAAATTGGGATTTTTTTAGGGTTTGCAGAATATCAAAGATTCAGTGTATTTGGTTTCTGTAATATCTCTGGAATTGAGGAGATGGACATGGATTTATAGCTGGTTTAAGGGTAATACTGTCTTTTTGGCAGCCAGCATGAGGTGTTTGTTGATTTTACACGTGGCGTGCTTTCATGGGTGCATACAAATCTGCTTGATCTAACTGGCAATAAGAATCTGACACGTGTATTGAGCACCTTGTAATCAGTTGGTTTGGTTTTATCATTGAAGTGAACGAGTTTGTATTTATGTAACCGACTCTTTGGAATGAAAGACCATTTCGTCCCTGTAATATTTAATTACTTTTTTCATGGTTGAATTAAGATTTAACTCTAGTACAGTAGCTTGCAAACCACGAAGATAAATTGCATGCAAGCCCCGTGTGACGAGCTTGATCGAAAAAGCATGTAAGAAATTTCGAATCTTCGACCTCCCGTTCGTGGGATCTCCTGCTCAACCAACTCGATCACCCATACGAATTTATGGGGTATAGTTATGTAGTAAATAAATAAGCATTGTCACATATCAGAAATGGAGTGAGTGTTATATGACGAATAATAATAAATTGCCTACTATATAAGAATATTTTTATCTTTATATAACTATAATTAAGTAAGTATTGTTATATGTATTCTTATATTTACGTAAAATTAATACATATTCCTAAATAGGTTGATTGCACTATTAGACTTAGTAACAAAGCTTTCATATTTTTTTGTTTTTTTTTAACAATTTTTTTTTTATCTTTTCAAAGAGGTCGTAATAGCTCGCCAAGTTGATTTAGTGAACGTGAGATATGTATTATCTAAGAGGAGCAATAACAACCTTTGGTAAATCATAGGCGACAAGTTTTTCTAAAACTTAATACTATTATTGTTGGCTCAATAATTGTCTTAATCATCATTAATAGAAAGAAAATCTGAATTAATCATATCTTCCATGTGGTATATATAAGATAGTGCTTAGAAAGAGGGTGAGTTATGGGTGCACGAACATTTGAAATTTATGCGTTCTGAATTGTCATTGAATCCATATCTCATCTTTGTTAATGAATTTACAACTAAATATTTATACATATTTTGAATTTCCTTATAATACAAATATATTATCTAACAACTTGTTTAGATGATTGTTACCTGTTATATTATTTCACATTGTTACTTTAAATACGATGTTTCTTTTAATTGTTACTTAAATTTTAATGTATCGTATCATTAAATCTGTTATTACGTAATAATGAAAGGTGCCACTTTATGGAACGATCAATTTGGTGTGGTCGTGTCGTTACCTTATTTTTTTCTCTCATCTTGCTCTTTCTTATTATTGAATAATTATATTTTTATATCTTTTACCCTACCTTTTTATACAATAATTTTACCTCGTACCTTATTCTTCCTTTGTAATATTGCACGTTTATTCTTCATATTGTTGGCATATGACATCATGAAACGACGACAAACAATATAATTTATCCAAACATTGTATACATCAAAAGGATACGGTACAATACAATAGAATACAATATAATATGATACAAAACAGTCATCCAAACAAGCTGTAAGCAAAAGTGATTGGGTTCGATCAAACTCGCATCTAATAATTCGCTCCGCCATTGGTTCGGTCGAATCCGTAACCATCAGCTCTTGTCTTGAAAGCTTTCAAACCTAATTTTTCGTGGCACAACCTCCACACAAGCACCGTCCGACGAAGAGAGGACGAGGAATTTAGAGTATGTTTGGAAAGCCACCCTGTAATTGGAATTGGTGTAATTACTAGGGTAGTAATTACACGCTCTAGTAATTACACAGTTGTGTAATTACGACGACACGTTTGTTTGTCATAGTGTAATTATAAGTTTACTGTTTGGTTGCACAAGTGTAATTACACAGTTAGATTAAATTTCAAATTATATCAAAACTTAAAAGTTAATATAAAAAATATATGCCTATAAATTTTTATAAGTATAAATGATATTATATTTTGTATTTAAGATGTATATTTTTTCGTGAATATACATTAATTTAGTAATCATATATTTATAACTAATATTGTAAAAATAATTTATATATATTTTTTAAATTAATAATATTTAAATTAGATACTTACTAAAATAAAAGATATAAGTTTTGTAAGAACATCATGGAATTCATGTTTGATAAAATAAATTAATATTTACAAATATAATGTCATAATATTATTCAAATGTTTGACAAAACTAATCTATCAATTCTAACTAAAAAATGAACAACATGCAATGTGAGCCAATACTACTAAAATAAGTAAATTGAAACCATGAATATAACACAATTTAAAAATTCAAAAATAAAATAAAATAGTTTAACATATGTCAAATTCCACATAATAATAGTAAGTTCCAGTGCAACTTAATAATTAGGAAACATGATAAGTTTATAACCACATTCAACAACGAAATTCCACTTTAATTGCATCACTCATTATATGCCAAGTTTGTTAATGACTCATTATTTCTAATATTATGAGGTGTAGTTTAAAAATATAGAATAATAAAATAAATAAAAAATAAAAAATAAGCAATTACATGGAATCACAAGAAGTAAATATAGAGAAATAAAAGATAAATAATGTACAAAGAAAAATATATTTTAAAATTTCAAAAGAATTAAAATTAAGAAATTAAAATAATAGAAATAAAAAGTTATAAAAAAATAAATTAAAATAAACACAAAAAAGAAAGAAACTAATAAGCAACCTTGCAATTACACAGTGTAATTACCACCAATTTTCACCTCCCCCTTGAGAATTGGAGAGTATAATTATACCCCTCCAATTACACCCAATTCCATGCTGACCAAGTAATTACTTGGCCAAACAAACATGCCAAACTGTGTAATTACACTCAATTATGCCCAAATCCATTTCCAAGGTGGCTTTCCAAACAAGCTCTAAATGGTTTAAATAATTGGATATGACAAGGAGAACGACGCTTTCCCTTATAAAAAAATAAAAAAGAAGAAAAATTAAAAAAAAGAAAGCTTTTCCCTTTAAAAATTTATGTATTATATATCCAGTGGATTAATCAAGATGATTATGTAAAAAAAAGTATGTTACAATTTGTCTTGTCCATATGTTTATCTCGTGCCAACTAAACTGGGAACTAAAAGCTACGGGCGCTATCTGTTGTTATAGTTGAACGTTTGATTGCAAAAGCATTTAACAAATTTTGAAGAAATAAGAAGCCAAGATGGTGTGATCTTTACAAAGTGTATCATGAGCACATACATCAACTCTTTCAAGAATCTAGCTAACTATACGCAAGTCGATTCTTTATTCTCTTTCCTTTAATGGTTTTAGTATGGTTAGTGCAGGTTATCCAGTATGCACTACTCTTGGATATTCATCAGGCACATCCTTTGAACTCAGTGGTAAGAATTCTTCTATTATTTAGTAGATTAAAGGGAAAGAAGTTATTATCAATTACCTCAGAAGAACAACTTCTTGTTCTTCTTGTTGTTGGGTACACAATCAATACTTATTATGAATTTGTAGCATCTTTTCATGCAGATGTAGTCTGCAATTACTTTCGGAGTCAACTTTACTAGATTAAATTTGGAAATGTTTATTCTTTTTCTTACGTTTATTAATATGGCAGATAAAAAGGATCCACTCAAAGGCATCAAGGCTAAAATGTCTTACAGAGGGTCGAAGCTCAACTGTTCACTTGCTGTTTCTATCGTATGTGATACAAATGGAGTTCAAGTAAGGGGTTGTTTCCTTTGAGTATGGGCTCTACTTTTCTCCAGTGACATTCCATTGGAATTCAGCCATTGATTTTCCTTTCCATTACTTTGCCAGGGTCCTCGGACACTTGAATTAGTTGGGACTTGTGATTATGTAAGTACTCTGAATGTCCATTTTCAATCTCATTATGGAGTACTTTGTGTCACTAATAGGAGTACTTAATGTCATTATACTATGAGAGGATCTTGGTTGATGAAATACATAAATTATGCTTTTTTAATCAGCTGGCAATAAGGTAAAAGGACCTGGTATGGATTGCCACATTATGATAATTTCTTCTACTCTAGCATGGTATAAAATGAAGCTGCAAATCAGAATTGCTGATGTGAATGAGGATGCAAGTAGTCTTGGAGGCGGGAGGCACCTAGATGGGAACCATGAAATGACATTGAGTTTCTGTGGGGAGAATAGTTTCATAATAACATGCTAGATAAAAAGAAAGAACCCCTCGGCAAGGCATTGATCATAGAAGCATATTCTATGGGAGCACTTGTCTTTAGGATTAGTTACTAGTCCTAGGCCCTAGTTAGTTGTTGCTTGTTTGGTCTTAACTGCCGTCTTGGGGCATGCTGCTGCTCTAGGCTTGGTGTTAGGCTCGTGTGCAAGGTTAGTTTGGAGGACTAGAGCTCCGCAGTCCCTGTTGAGTGCATTGCATGCTCAGATTTCTTGCCAAGTTTGCATACATATGAGAATCAAACAATTTGGTGCATTCTTCAATCGCCTCGTCATTTTTCATCTATTAACTTTCTCAAGAACTTTGGTCTTATAGATAATTTCAACTAGGAGTTCATGCTGTATTTTCTGCTGACAGGCTACACAAATGCATCACCCCTCCGGCTGCGCGGTGATTATATCCTCTCACGGGCAAGGAATGGGCTGGTTCGGTACCATGATGGTCATGTAAGATTAATTATTAAAAGCATAGACTAGATAATAGAGTTGCCTACTCACTGATGAACTGATTAATACACACTGCACAGAATCCTATGCCTCTTCGGAGTTTACTTGCTGGGTGGTGCAGCCTATCGGTACTTCTCTTTGGGCATTCGTGGGATAGACGTATGTTGCTTCTCTTTCTCTCTTCTGTCTTCATTCAGTTTATCAGAATAGGTGCATGAAAGTTCCTATCCAGACTACTTGGCGATGATGTCTTTATTTGACTGTTGGTGGCCTCTTTGCTGTCCTATCCTCCTCCTTTTTCCAAACTATAATTCTACTCTCTTTTGTAAGTGATTGGCTCAAGTAACCAAGTTGGAACAAGATAAATACACAAATGTGATATGCAAAGTAGGCAGCTAAAACAAGTAGTGGAGTCAGATCTTATTACTTAAAATATCAGATATGACAAAATAAAAGGATCACAATCTAATAACAAGTTGTTTATGTGGAGGGGAAACGAGTTTGGGTAATAGGGGACAGAAGTCAAATTCTGACTGAAAACATCACCATTAGTCTTAAAGAAATGTTCCCGTTTCTTTGGAAAATAAGTAGTAGTCCTTGGACAGGATGTTATCCGTACTAGTTTTCTAGAGTCAGCTATAGGTCTTTAGGCTGCATCGCTCACCTTTTTCCTTCCCTTTTTATACTGAGAGCTGGTCATGTTGTTAAATGATTCTTTCTCTTGATGATTGTGGGACATTTCACAATTAGTTGCTACTTTTCAAGATGACTTTGTGCTCGGATGGAGAACTGAGTGTAAGTTCAGTGGCGAGACTCTAGGAGGGGAAGGGGAGGTGAGACTGGACTCGCAGGTCATCCCTAGGAGAGGGAGTTTTAAGTACCTCGGGTCTATTATTCAGGGGATGGGGAGATTGATGAAGATGTCGCACATTGTATTGGGGCGGGATGGATGAAATAGAGACTCGCTTCCGGTATTTTGTGTGACAAGAAGGTGCCACCGAAACTTAAGGGTAAGTTCTACAGAGTGGTGGTCAGACCAACGATATTGTATGGGGCTGAGTGTTAGCCGGTCAAGATTGCTTATGTCCAGAAGATGAAGGTAGCAGAGATGAGGATGTTGAGATGGATGTGCGAGCACACCAGGTTAGATAGGATCAGAAATTAGGTTATTCGCGATAAGGTGGGTGTGGCCTCTATTGAGGACAAGATGCGGGAAGCGCGGCTTAGGTGGTTTGGTCATGTGAGGAGTAGGAGCACAGACGCCCCGGTGAGGAGGTGTGAGAGGTTGACATTGGAGGGCCTACGGAGAGGTAGAGGTTGGCCAAAGAAGAGGTGGGGAGAGGTGATTAGGCAAGACATGGTGCAACTTAAGCTGATCGAGGACATGACCCTTGATAGGAAGGTATGGAGGTCGAGAATTAGGGTAGTAGATTAGGTAGTGTAGAGTGTTCATAACATTAGTATTGGCACGCAGTCTCGTTTTCTGTTGGTAGTAGGTTTTTATGACTAACCGTTGTTTTCTTTCATTGTTGATCACTTTACTGTCTTGTTGTTTTATTCTGCTTTTATATGGCTTTTTGATACTGTCCCTTCTTGCCTATATTTTCATTAATGTGGTACTTATACTATCCTGAGCCGAGGGTTTATTGGAAACAGCCTCTCTATCCTCACAAGGTAGGGGTAAGGTCTGCGTACACACTACCCTCCCCAGACCCCACGGTGTGGGATAATACTGGGTGTGTTGTTGTTGTAGTTATATTTCAGTGGTATGCATATTTGAGAGGGTCTTCGAGCCATTTTTCTATTATTTTGAATTGGTTCTCTTGTTGAGCATATTCCGGCACAAGTACATCAGGATAATTGCTGATATGTTCATTTCTACTTTGTTACCTTGTTTTGGTACATTAGATTAGGATATGGTTTTGGTGATCCCTCCTCTCCTTCTTTTGCTATGATCAGTTTTTGACAGTTGCAATTCCAGACCATCCCTAAGCTCCAATATCCTCAAATTCTACTGTATGTACTCCATTGGTTTATTTCAACTCCTTTGGAAACTACAATTTGGGGTCTTCCAGTTTTGAAATCATTAGATTCTCATATTCATGATTGAATCATAAAGATCTAATGATCAAAACTACAAAGACAGCAAGACCTGGCTTTGATGATTTATGTTGAGCCTTTTGGTGGACTATATCTGACAAACCATGGTGCCCGCCCTGGAGGAGGTGGTGGTGGTTTTGGGGGTGGGGGTGGGAGGGGGGGACTGCCCATGTATAAAACTCAACAAACCTGTTGAGCAACAAAGCTAAAGGATGAGAATAGTGAGTTCCATTGATTTTACCGCTAACAGTCTTTTACGAATAATATATCTTTTTAAGCAAGACACGACTTCTTAGTATAGCTACAGATTTGGTCCTCGGGGAGTGCAGATATTGATGTGTTGTGGTTGTAGATGGGGATGCAAATGGTGGTGGTTGACAGTGAATAACGTTGATGCGAAGGAGGATAATTGTGAACTTTGAGATGAAAACATATTGCAGAGGAACGATAACACTTCTTTGATTGAATAGTGAGAAAAATATTTTGACCTTAAGTTTGTAATGAACGGAAAATAATCAAATTGGGATGAGTATGATTTGGGTTTGTTGCTTCTGAATTAACCAGTTGGACTTTCCAAATTTTATTATTGTCTTTGCCATTTAGGCATTTACCATGGAAGTGAATGTGATTACGAACTATAATAAGTGGATGTCGAGACTTGACACTATAATAACCCCGATGAATGCATTCAAGATTCCACTCTATATCTGCATATAGAAAGTTCACCACACTACGGTATCATAAAATGACTCATTTCTAGAAAAGTGAGGTGTAGTTTGTTGTCAGTTCTCTGTGTGTTAGCTTGCAGTTTTGTTTGAATTGTAGTTTGCTGCACCAGAGTGCATGTCATTGGTGAAAGTTACAAATATTGCAAGATTGTTGAAGTGTCTTTTCCTATCTTTCTCTTGTCTCTCTCCAAATTATTCAGGAATTGAGAAGGAATCTTTTAAATTGATAGCATCACATCTAAAAGATTCCTCGGTTCAGGCCATAGTACCTTCTACTTCTAATAGGCTGTGAACTTGATCTTAATGAGTCTCAACCAGGTTATAAGCTGAGCCCAACTTAATGAACTTCAGTCAAAGTGGAAAAAAATAAAAAGGGCAACCCGGTGCACAAAGCATCCCGCATTCACGCAGGGTCCGGGGAAGGGCCGCACCCCTTGGTGTGATGCAGACAGCCTACCCTAATACAAGCATTAGTGGCTGCTTCCACGGCTCGAACCCGTGACCTATACATCACATGGAGACAACTTTACCGTTGCTCCAACAGGTTTAATGTAAACTGGTAACCATTTTACTCAGAAACTAGAAGAGGTTTGTTTGGAAAATTTAGCTACCTCAGGTGTCACTGAAGTAACCATAGTCTAAGTCTAATCCAGTGTTTGAAGATGCTTTGTTGGCTTAAAAATTATTCCTGAAAACTATCACTTTTTTCCACTGAGTGTAGCACGGTTATTTAGAACTCGTGCTGGCTTTGCTTGTGTTCGACATTGAATTTGTGCAGTGCTGTAATCTGACATCTTCCTTCTCCTAAACTTATGCAGATAATTCCAAACTTGGAGTTCTGGGCGAGCCTGCCACATACGTTACAGGTATTGAATAATGCTTGTGTCTTATATTAAAGCGAGGTAGTTTGATCTGGTTAAAATTCCTTATTGGCTAGGATTAAGGGTGGAACGTTTTACAGAATTTATTTTGCTTGTCCAAACGTCTCTACTGACGAATTTCTTTCCAGGAGAGGTTGGGGATAGGCTAGGAGCAACCACAGTCGTGGTTCTTTAATAAGAGAAAAAGGATGCTGTGGAAGCTTTGGTTTTAATTATTTATAGCACCTAGGCGTGTCCCCACAAATATGGTATCGTGAAAGAACATCCGACATGGGTGTGTGAGCCGTGAATTCAATTATAGCACCTAGCAAAGTACGAGTTCTATCGACCATAGTTGCATTAGTTTGGTGGTTGTCGACTCTAGCTGCGAGTTCTCTACCTCGTGGATGGACAACTCTGCTGGATTTATGTGTCGTATTCTAAACTCTTTCTTCCTTGGTGCTAATTTCCATACAAGCTGAAGTTTATGGCTAAAGTGATTTCACAAAGAGTGTTAGTTGAATTGTGGATCCATGGACCTGCTGAAACACTATACCATTGTCTTCCGCTTTACCACAATAACTAAAAAAAGAAAAAGATAAGATTGAGAATAGTCTTCTTTTAATGGCGTGCACATAAATTTTTTAATCGGAGGATGTGTTTGTTTGCTGATTGAACGTTGGGGCGTATTATCATATTTATGTTCTCTTTTTGCAGAGTATGTTTTTATCATTGGTGCGGAGATTTAGAGGACCTTCTCATGGTCACAGGAGTTCGTATTCTCCTGTCAATTTTTGAGCAATTACATGTTAACTACTCAAATGATCAGACAAATCAATATTTGACATGGAACGACAATTGATTCTTTCAAGTTGTTGCTTCAAAAAAAATCAGATCCTCGCGATCCTCTCCAGTAAGACTAAAATTGGACATCTTACAACTTGGCATTTTCTCATGGATGTCACTTCAATTGCTTGTAATTTCTTTGACTAGGCTGTCATTTTTGTGCTAGTGTCTTTTTTCTTCTTTTTCCTTTTCCAGTGTCATTTTGTTCTAGTTAACAGCATTCTTTGTAGGCTGTTGGTGCTTCTATCATAAACAGGATTTGGATCTGAACTTCATTGTGCCCATTAGTTTCTTAGACAGAAGGGATTTCACCAATTTGTCGCAATTCCATCGTGTTACTGTGGTGCTAATACAATTAAAAAAGGCAGCCCGGTGCACTAAGCTCTCGTTATGTGCGGGGTCCGTGGAAGGGCCGGACCACAAGGGTCTATTGTACGCAGCTTTACCCCGCATTTCGGCAAGGGGCTGTTTCCACGGCTTAAACCCGTGACCTCCTGATCTCATGGCAATTACTTTACAGGTTACGCCAAGGCTTTCCTTCGGTGCTAATACAATAGTACTTTTTAATTATATGTGGCTGTTATATTATTAGAGAAAACTTTTGTGGAACAGCCATAACATTTTTTGCGAAAAAGCAGGCGGGACAGACAGATTATGATGGAAAAAGCTCTTTAAAAAAATCTTTTTAGCCGTTATTCGGTGTATGTGCTAGTGGGAGGTATCAGGTACCTGCAGAATTAGATGTACGTGCAAGTTGGCTCGGACGCCACGGATACGAAAAAGAGGAATCTATTAGCCAACCATTAGGATAAATAATATTTGTGTAAGTGAAAAAATCATGAATTTTTTTCTTATTAATATATTTTAAAAAAGCTCCTAAATCTTGGTATGTCACCTGCTCCATGAGAGATTGGCTTAGGTGGGGGTGGGTATAAAAAAAATGTCAACTAAAATGAAGTTGAAATGTTACCTAAATCTCAAATCACTCTCCAACTTCACCCTTTAAACAAGTAATGGTTGGTACTGACTTTACCTAATTTCTTGAACACTCCATGCTCCAACGAATAATGAGTTTAATTTCTATATACTGATGATGATTTAGAAGACAATTCAAGTAACTATTGATATGTAATAAGTGGAACTAGTCATTTCCAGAACATAAATAGACGATATGCTATTACAGATTAAATTATACTGATAGTGTGAACCACGAAAAATATACAAAAAGTGGAAAAATTATATCCAATCATTCACAACTAGCCTTAACTTAGAATCCAAGTGAAACATTACTTCACCACAAATATTGAGCTGTAAATTAAATAAAACTTGCTAGACTTTTGACCATCATTTTAAGTTAATCAAATCAGGAAAGCTATTGCCATTAGTTTATTTCAAAGAAACATACATAATTAGACTGTTAAATTCCACTTATCAATTTGACCCCAACCACTAGTTTTCTTGCATACAAGAAATATGACCAAAATAACTATTTTAGGAAAATGACAAGCCTAATTTAATAAAAATAATCTCGTTAGTGATTAGTAACCTTTCTATTATCAGTTATTTCCTTCAAATCTAATGTAACAATAATAGTAAGAATTTAATAACGAGAATAGCAACTAATAATCCAAATTATCGCCAAGAGTTGTGTGGGATGAATAGAATTACCCATCTTTTGAGTTCGAGTTTGAAAAAGTTTCTAGTATAGAGTGCTTCTCTTTTTAATAGGCATTACGCGATGTGAATCCAGTGTCGGGGCCCCAATCTTGGGTACCGACATTAAGTGGAAAACAAAACAAAAAAAAAATCCTAATTAATTAATTATTCAAAAAAAAGGACAGCCCGATACAAAAAGCATCCGGTATTCACGCATGGTCCGGGGAAAGGCCGCACCCCAAGGGTTAATAATGTAGACAACCTACCTTAATGTAAGGATTAATAACTACTTCCACGGCTCGAAACCATGACCAATATGTCACATAAAGACAAATTTAAGGCTCCTCTTCAAATTAATTAATTAATTATTCAATTAGCTGAAAATAAAAATAATTTCCTTCAACTCTGTTTACACTTAACCTATAGTTTTTCTGTATTTATTCTACCCCATTGAACACTGAGTAGATGACTTTCACTACCTAACAAAAAACAATAACAAAACAGAAAAATATGAAGCCACCTCCATCTTCTTCTCCATTTTCCTCTTCTTTTCTGAGAAAAAATCGTTTTTCTCCTTTTTTTTTAATATTACTACCCTTCATTGTTCTTATTATTATTCTGTACAGTGAAGAATTCAACTGCATTTTTAGCCAGCTTGACCCCAGAGTTTCAAGCCAACAACACAATTCTATCTCAAGAAATATTAGTGAGTAATACTAATGAATTTGCACCTTTTTCTTTCTGTTTTATTTATTTATTTTTGGGAAGAATTATCATGCATGTGTTTGTCCAAGAGAAAAGAACATGTTTGTTTTCTTGCTGTCTTTTTTTGGTTGCTTCAAACATGAAAATAAAACAAACCAATCAAAACATAAAATAAAGTCTCTCACAATAAATTTCAAAATTAATGTTCTTTCGAGGCAGAGTCGAGTCCAGGATCTAGAGTCAAGGAGTTCATTAATAAGCATGATCATATTATATATCTATCCAAAGTCCGAGTTGAAAGCACATGGTTCAATTGAACCCAATGCGCGAATATCATCCTATAACAAAAATTACTTCCAATTACGCTTGTGTTAGGGTAGGCTGCCTGCATCATATCCCTTTAGGATGCGGGCCTTCCCTAGATCCTACGTGAACGCGGGATGCTTCGTGCACCGAACTGCCTTTTTTTAATTATCATAAAACTACATTCGAAAACTGTCCAAACTTTTTTTTTTTGCATGAATGAAGTAGGAGTGAAATTGACGGTATCTTTTGAATTGTGCTCGTAGAGAAGAACAAACAAAAGTTACCATTTGCTATAGGAGCAGAGGAAGGCTGTGATGTGTTCAGTGGGAAATGGGTTTGGGACGAGAATCGGCCTTTGTACGAAGAATCAGAGTGTCCGTACATACAACCACAGTTGACTTGCCAAGAACATGGCCGGCCAGATAAAAACTATCAACATTGGAGATGGCAACCTCACGATTGCTCACTTCCGAGGTACCATTCTTTTACACTGTCAGTATATAGAAGTTAAACTTTTATGTACGACTGATTATATTATGAGTCTATTTAGTCTGCATTCTAGAGCTTTTCTAACATTATGAGTCTATTTACTGATCATTAGTCGACATATCATTTGATGTTAGTTATGTACAAGTGAAAAAAGGGCTACTTGTCAAAAAGAAATTATGGCAATAAGTAGAGGCGAATATTTAGGATTTCTAGAATATGAGTGCACCTCTTAAAAGGTAAGAAAATAGAAGTACTAAGTGGGTTATCGATCCATTTTTCTTTTGGAAAAATAACTCAGCATTCAACCAAGTGTACCAAGTGTACCGTTCAACCTTTTTGAAGCATGGGAGCCAACAGATAATATTAGATCAATTTTACGAAATATTTACATAAAATACCTAGTTTGGCAGAAAGACCATGGATTCACGTGTACCGTAAAAACGGCCTAAATCCGCCCCTGGGAATAAGATGTCAACTTCAATAACAAATACAAACTCACACCATCCTTTCCAAACAGCATTTGTTCCATAAACACATGACTCATGACACCTTTTGCTAATGTAAAATGGCAGTTTCAATGCGACGTTAATGCTAGAAACTCTTCGGGGGAAGAAGATGTTGTTCGTGGGCGATTCCTTGAACAGAGGACAGTTTGTTTCCATGGTTTGTCTTGTCCATAGACTCATTCCCGACGATGCTAAATCCATGAAAACTGTTGGTAATTTCGACATTTTCACCATTAAGGTGATCATTTTCTCTAGCAATTTTGAGCTTATACATTACAATTCTGTTAATTTGTACATTAATTTAATACACAAATATAAGTTGGTTTGTATTTTAATATCCAGGGTTATAATGCAACTATAGAGTTCTACTGGGCACCATTTCTACTGGAATCAAATTCTGATGATGCAGTCAAACATAGAATCGAGCAAAGAGTTGTTCGAAAAGGATCAATAAATGCACATGGAAAATATTGGAAAGGGGCTGATATAATTGTGTTCAATACTTATCTTTGGTGGATGAGGGGCCTTCATTTTAATATTTTGTAATTTCCTTTGCTCTTTCTTGTTTTTCATTTATAAGTTTTAACTTTTATATACTAACAATGCGTAAGAATTTTTACACTGTGATCAGGTCACCTAAAAGATAACTTCAAGTTACTGTCAATGACATACTACGTACTAACAAATATGAAATGAAAATTGATACAGGCAAGGGTCATTCGACGATGAAGTGAAAGATATAGTGGAAGTTTCCACAGAGGAGGCATATCGAATGGCAATGAAGAGTATGTTAAAATGGATTAAAAAGAATATGGATCCAACGAAAACCAGAATCTTTTTCACTAGCATGTCACCTTCTCATGAAAAGTGAGTAAACAATTAACCTTTCCAAATTCTATATTTTTTAATGTGTTTAATCAACATTTGATAATTTAGGTTTCTGTTCTTTGTTTGGCAGGAGCATAGAATGGGGAGGAGAACAAAATAAGAACTGTTACAACGAGACTAAAATGATAGAAGATCCAAACTACTGGGGTACAGATAGTAGAAAAAGCATAATGCAAGTGATTGGAAAAGAATTTAGTAAATCAAAAGTGCCCATCTCATTTCTCAACATTACACAACTCTCAAGTTATAGAAAAGACGCGCACACAACAATTTACAAGAAGCAATGGAGTCCATTAACACCAGAACAACTAGCAAATCCGTTTAGCTACGCTGATTGTGTTCATTGGTGCTTGCCTGGACTTCAAGATACTTGGAACGAACTTTTATTTGCGAAGCTTTTCTATCCTTGAGATTGATTTTATTGAAAATTGAAGGACGTCGTATTATATAATGTTCTCAAGATGGATTTGTGGGGTATTAGGATAGAAATTGTTAGTTTAGTATACACCACTTATACACTGGAACTTGGACAAGAAACTGTACACAATTTATTTTTCTCTTTATCTAATTGATGTTTTTTTCCAGGGAGATGTAGAATTCAACATGTATGGTAAATCCCAGGCTTTAAGATATAAAAAATGCTACAGACGGCATGTCACATGGGTTCCTACAAAAATAATTGTACCAAAAATTTGAAGCATAACATGTTCTATTCATATTTTTAGGTTTCAAGCTTCTATAATTGGAGCAAAATTAAGGTGAAAATTACTTTCTATGTTAGGGAGGACATGAGTAGAGAAGCATTCTATGAGTTGAAATTCCAACAATTTTATAGTGCCTCGCGAATTCTCTTTGGGTTGAATTATTACAACATTTTAACCAACAACATTATAAGCTAATTTCTTCAAGCAGATAGAGCAAGGGCCGCTACAATTGCTTTAGCGTTAGGTCTCTCGAGCCTTTATGGATGACTTACATGGTGAAAAATAAGTTCAGAATTCAACTATTAAGACTGTTGGGATATATATTATTAACCATGGATTTTGGTTTGGATATAGTATTTATTATGGAACAATTGTTTATTCAATTTGAATAAAGTTTTAAATAGATCATATATTCGTTTGTGTCCTTTACTTATATAGTAGATGATTTAGTGTATAGAGTTTAGCTTATACACGGAAGACTAAATCATCGGTTCTTATAAGTATAAAGATCATGTTCACAATCTAAGGATGGAATTGGACAAACCATCAGGAATGATTGTAGCACAAGATTAAATATAATTTATCTTGATTATGGGAATGGTTTAATTCTGATTTCTTGTGCTAGTACATTTTGTATGTATTGAACGGACCAAGTAGAGATAAGTATTTTATACTGACTTAATAAAGTAAATTCTCTAGCCATTAAATGTACTTATACTCTTAGTCTTGATATAATTATTATTATTTGTGTATATTATTATTGTTTTGATATATTAAAAGGCGAGATTCTTTCGTGAATATGCCTGGTAAATTGTATAATAATGATATACATTGGCAAAGTAATAGTTAGTTGATGGAATCCATGTCTCGGTCTAGAGATCGATGATACACCTTTATGAAAGCTTATAAGTTTTCATGTGTAAACCCTGCAGGTGGATTTTGTATCCGTCACATGAAATAAATTAAGCGAAAGTCTAAAGGAAATAATCAATAAATTAAATTATCAGTAATTTAATTTATTTGATTAGTATCTGAATCTTAACATGAGGAGTTAAATAAGGTTTAATGGAAGAATTTCGAAATTGACTGAGGAGTGGAGTTACGAATTTTTAGTGGAATAATTCATAATTTATTATGGTAGTATTAATTTGAATATTTGAATAATAATATACACAACTAATAACAATTATATCAAGATTAAGAGTATAAGTACATTTAATGGCTAGAGAATTTACTTTATTAAGTCAGTATAAAATACTTATCTCTACTTGGTCCGTTCAATACATACAAAATGTACTAGCACAAGAAGTTGGAATTAAACCACTCCCATAATCAAGATAAATTATATTTAATTGTGCTACAATCATTCCTGATGGTTTGTCCAATTCCATCCTTAGATTGTGAACATGATCTTTATACTTATAAGAACCGATGATTTAATCTTCCGTGTATAAGCTAAACTCTATACACTAAATCATCTACTATATAAGTAAAGGACACAAACGAATATATGATCTATTTAAAACTTTATTAAAATTGAATAAATAATTGTTCCATAATAAATACTATATTCAAACCAAAATTCATGGTTAATAATATATATCCCAATAATCTCCCATTTAAATTTTTAACCATGACAATTATTAGAATATACTATATCTAAATGCATGGTTAATAGTATATACCCTGACAAAGACGCCATTGGAATTAAAGCTCAAGGCAACAAAGTTGTGAGCCTAAAAAGCCTAGAAGTAATCTAAGGAAGCCAGGCTATAACAGATAATACTTGGGAAAAATCAGAAATAACTAGATTTATAATTAGTAATTGAATATTAGTTACAGTTTTAAAAGTAATCGAAATTTAGCCACTTTTTCATGTAAAAACAAAATCTAAATAAAAACACCCTGAAAATTTCCAGCATAGTATGTTGGAGTTCGAATTTTTTACGTATGAGATTCCAGCATAATGTGCTGGAATTTCATATTGTGCCGGAATTCCAATATAATATGCTGAAAGTTTATACATAGGAGCTCCACAATCCAGCATATTATGCTGGAACTTTTCATGTGCTGGAGTTCCAACATAATATGCTGGAAGTTTATCTGCATGAGCTCCATAATCCAATATATTATACTGTAACTTTCTGTGTTTCAGCAAAATAATGGCTATTTTTTTAATGAATTTACAAATGCTGGCTATTTTTTGATTACCAGTTCGAAAACTGGCTAGCCTGTGCTATTTTCACGTTGGATTTGACAGTAACAATAATACAAGTGTTAACACCAAATTTAACGTTGTTTGGTTTCGAAGGAACACACATAATCAAACTGTTAAATTAGACCTATTGATTTGACCACAACCATAATGACTATTTTGGAGAAATGACAAACCTAATGTAATCATAATAGTCTCTTTCTTGATTAGTAACCTTTCTATTATCAGTTATTTCCTTCAAACCTAATGTAACAATAATGATAAGAATTCAATAACGAGAATAACAAAAAATATCCAAATTAATTGACTATGCAATTATCTGGAAATAAAATAACCTATAAATTTCTTGTATTTATTCTACCCTCACTGAACACTGGGTAAATGACTTTCACTACCTAACTAAACACAATAATAACACAGAAAAAAAAAAATGAAGCCACCTTTTTCCTCTTCTCTTCTGTTAATATTACTACCTTTTGTAGTTCTTGTCATTTTAATGTACAGTGAAGAATTCAGCTGCATTTTGTGCCAGCTTGGTCCCCCAGTTTCCAGCCAACAACACATTAGTGAGTAATTCCCATGAACTTTTACTTTTTCTTTCTCTTTTATTTATCTATCTATTTATTTAATTTTCGAAATAATATATCATGCATGTTTGTTAAAAAAAAAACAGTTTTGTTTGTATATCCAGGTATGATAACCAATCTTAGTATATGCATATGTAACATAATATATGCATATGTAACATAGTTTAAGTTAGGGAAAATGCATAATTACCCCCCTATCCTATACCCAAAGTTCCAACTACACACTTTTTCTTCACGGGAATCCTAGTACCCCCTAAACTATTTTTTACCTTAATATCTTGGACCTTTTGTGCTGAGCTGGACTGGAACCCCAGTTAAAATACATGCGGTGTAGACACGCGCATCATAAACCGATGGGCCCCCCATTCCATTTCCCATTTTATCTGGTTTTTATCTCTTCATTAAAACATAACACAAGACAAGAGACTATCTGAGATCCAAAAATTTCCCCCATTCTTCACTGCACTCTTCGATCCTTTAACCAAATCATCAAGACATAAAAAAATTTCTTTGTTCTCTTGCAATTGGATACTAACAGATCTAAAACAAGTATAAAGCCCCATTTTTATGGTTTGATTCAAGGAAGGGGGGGTCAGATTCGAAGGTTAAACAAAAATAATGTTCTAGAGTTTTTCGTGTATCGATTGAAGGTCAGATTGGAAGGTTAAGCTTTTTATTCGTCACTATCCAAGAGCAAAGGTTAGTTCTTTACTGCATCTAATTACTTTTGTGTTAGTTTAGAGTTTTAAATTTTTTTAGCCATTGCAATTTTGTGATTGGCAGATTAAATTTGAGGTTTCTTGTCTGAATGTTAACCTCAGAGATTCGATTGTGCATGGGTTCGGTGAAAACTTTTGGTTTTTAGCAAATAAGTACTTTTCTAATACTAGTATCTACGATTTGTCGAATTCTGCTGAATTTGTTTTATCGATTTTTTTTTTGCTTTGTTTGCATATAGGTATGAGTGGGTTTGCTTTAATAACTTTAAGACTATATCATGGTTGTTTAACCAAAAAGTAGACCGGTCAAAGCTTTATTTTAGAAGAACTCGGGTTACTGATAATCAAAAAATAAAATGAATAAAAGAAATTGATTTTGCAAATAATAAGATGAACAGAAGAAAGCAAAGTGAATCAGTATATTCCGATGATATTTCGTGTCCCTACAAATGATCAGTCTTCTCCTTTTTATAGCTATTTCTAAGATATACGTTTTGCCTCTGTCATAATAAGGCTATTATAGACAATTAAAGGCATTTAATGTTACGTTACAATGACAATCATTATAATTCAATACAGATTTTCTAACGTTTTCAGCATTTAATGCTTATTAAATACTGTATCCGTTCTCTCTTATGCTGTCAGATTCATTCTCCTTAAATCTTGGACTTAAATAGGTACGAACACCGAGTCTTTTGATTATCTGCCCGTGTCTCTGCTCGTACCTCTGCTCGTATCTGTTGCAACTCGTGCCTCTTTGATAATCATCATTCTTTTCCCAGCCTTCGTGTCATGACATGTCATCTTTCAATTACTTCAATATATATAAACTCAATTTTTCCCAATACAATGGTGGGGTCTTAGAGTTTGGAAATGGGGACCAAAATATGTTGGTGGGGTAATGAGTGAATATTTGGATGTTGATGTAGATACCCTATCCTATTTTGAGTTGAAGGATTATATTAAAGAATTAGGGTACAACTCAAGTTGTAAATTTAGTATTCGGCCACCTAACTGTGGCATTTTAGCAATTGGTAAGTCTTTACAACATGTGGATGTTTTGGAAGTATATATATATATATATATATATATATGTGCACATGCCTGAGGAGGAATCTTGTTCAACTTTTAATAAAGGGGCTGCTTTTAATGGTTCTGCTGCTCCTCCAAACACTGCTGCTCCTTCAAACACTGTTGTTGCTCCTTCAATCAATGCTGCTGCTACTCCAAACACTACTGCTCCAAATACAGCTGCTCTTGCAGATCCAATTGCTGATCCAACATACACAACAGCTGCTATTTCAGATCCAGAATCTTCTCCAACTGAAGATTACTCAAGTGAAGATGGATCTGATGAATCAACTGAAGATAGTGCTGATTCTGATGAAAGTGACTTCTTTGGGGGGGGGGGGGATGATTATGGCAGTGATGTACATGAGGAGAACATAGAGATTAGGAAGGAAAGTAGGTCATTTCAAAGGATAAAAAGAAATGAGAAAGCTGTTGTTGATACTAAAGATGTACCATGTGGTGATGCTGGGCCAGATATTGGTTTTGATGAGATTGAAACATGTAAAAAAAGTGTAGAAGGCAGGCTAGGTGGTGATGAGCCATATTATCCAAGTTCTTATGCTTGTAGCTTTGAAACTGATGAAGATGAATGTTGGAATGAAGATGGGGAAGACAAGAAGGTAAAGCTAACAAAAAGGAGATCCAGAAAAAAGAGTCAAACGAAGGAATTTACAAAAAAAAAAAAATCACTTACCTCTTCAAACCAAAGAAAATTGGAAGTCAAAACCCACCTTCAAAGGTCTTGAAAATGGCTGGTATAATGGGGAAGAAGAACGTTTTATGTTTAGAATAAGGGGTCTTCCAAATCAACTTTGAGAACGACACATGTCCATTTTTTATAGGCTAAAGCCTTTTTATTTAATTTACTACGCGCTTGGGGAAGGTGCGTTCACGTTCCAGTCCAGCTCAGCACAAAAGGTCCAAGATATTAAGGTAAAAAATAGTTTAGGGGGTACTAGGATTCCCGTGAAGAAAAAGTGTGTAGTTGGAACTTTAGGTATAGGATAGGGGGGTAATTATGCATTTTCCCTTTAAGTTAAGGTTCAAATGAACTCACACTATCCCCCCTTGCTTGCATACTGATAAAAGAATAAATTCAAAAACCAATTCTCTTAAACTAAAATCCAAACATTAACCAAAAGTAAAAAAAAAAAAAAGGTAAACTTTTTTGACATGTATAATTTGAATTGTGTTGGTAGAGAAGAACAAGGAGAAGTTATCATTTGCCATAGGAGATACAGAGGAAGGATGCGATGTGTTCAGTGGGAAATGGGTTTGGGACGAGAATCGGCCTTTGTATGAAGAATCAGAGTGTCCGTACATAACGCCACAGTCGACTTGCCAAGAACATGGCAGGCCAGATAAAGACTATCAGCATTGGAGATGGCAACCTCATAGTTGCTCTCTCCCGAGGTAAAATTCTTTTACATTGTCGATATATATGTACTCCATATAGAAGTTGAACTTTTATGTATGACGGATTATGTTATGAATCTATTGGTCATGTATAAGTGAAACTTGAACATGAAAGTCTCGATTATTTTTAATTTTGGGTATTATTATGTTATTTGATTAAACACTTTTAACCGATCTTCTGTAACCAAAACATCTTGAAGGGTTTCTTACGTTAAAAGTTGGTATTTTATATCTCTTTATTTTCGGTTTTGCCTCTTTCTCGATATAACAATTCGTGCTGTATAAATGGCAGTTTCAATGCGACATCAATGCTAGAAACACTTCGGGGGAAGAGGATGTTGTTCGTAGGCGATTCGTTGAACAGAGGACAATATATTTCCATGATTTGTCTTGTTCATAGACTGATTCCTGAGAATGCTAAATCCATGGAAAATGATGGTAATTTCGCCATTTTCACCATTAAGGTGATCATCAGTAGCAAATTTTGAACTTGCACATTTAAATTTTATGAGTACATTTGATTAATAATATATATATATAATTTAGCTTATGTTTGATTTCAAGGATTATAATGCAACGATTGAGTTCTACTGGGCACCATTTCTTCTGGAATCAAATTCTGATGTTGCAATCACACATAGGATCGTTGAAAGAGTTGTTCGAAATGGTTCAATAAACACACATGGGAAACATTGGAAAGGGTCTGACATAATTGTGTTCAATACTTACCTTTGGTGGCTGAGCAATTTCAGTGTCTTGTAATTTCTTTATGTCTAAGCACTTTCTTGTTCTTTATTTACGAGTTTTATATTAAGTATTTAAATTCTGGATCCGTTACTATTTGCAGGCAAGGGTCTTTTGATGATAAAGTGAAAGATATAGTGGAGGTGTCCACAGAGGATGCATATCGCATGGTAATGAAGAGTATGTTGAGTTGGATTAAAGAGAATATGGATCCAAAGAAAACCAGAGTCTTTTTCACTAGCATGTCACCTTATCATGAAAGGTTGAGTAAAACAATAATCTCCCCCCCCCTCCCCCCTCCCTACTCCTACCCTACCCCCCCCCCCCCAAAAAAAAAAAAATTTCTCATCTCCTTACCTTTTTGTATGCTATTTTTGGTTTAAAGAAAAGGAAAAAGAGTAAACAAAGAAAAGGAAAACGTAATACACTCTAAGTTACTTGGATAATAGTTTGTTGAAAATAAAACAAAAATTAGGAAAAATGCATAAGTTCCCCTATGACCTATAGCCGGATTCCCAACTACATACTCTACCTTGCGGAAATTTTATTACCACTTGAACTATTTTAATGTCAAATAAATTCACCCTTAAGTACCACAACCAAATTTTCGTTGGGCGGTGAACCATACTTTTGACACATCAGATTTCATTATTAAAAAAAAAAAAGAAGAAGAAAACAAAACCCTTTTCTTTTCTTTTCCTTTATCTTTTCTCTTCTTCATTACTCCAATCACTACCAACAAACCGAAATAACAATGATTCTCTCATATTTTTCTTTTTCTGCTGCTACACTTCTTTGAATGGCTATTAATATGGTAGAAGATTATCGGATGGTGGCTATATGTGATTGTGAGTGGCATAAAGATGTTGGATGTTATAATTAAGAGGTGAGTGATGATATATAATATGAGTATAAGTGTGTCTGCTAGATTAGAAGAAGACTTTTTTCAGTTAAAATTTCAACGCCTCCATTTTTTCCGGCGTAGGAAGATTTTCCGATGATGAATTTTTCCCCCAAATCTGAGTGTATTTTGCTTTGCTTATGAATAGATCTTTTTGAGAGTTTAATTTGTGTGTGAAAAGTATAGAAAGAGGAAGAAGAAAAACAGAATAAATGGAAGAAGAATGTTTAGATAAAGTCGCCGGCGAGTAAATATCCACCAGAATTAGAGAAGAAACGAAAAAAAGAAGTAGAAGAAAAAGACAAATAAAAAGGAAAAGAAAAAAAAAGTAAGAAATTATATATCTCACTAAGAATGTAAAAAAGCAAAAAAGAAAAATCTAGAAATCGTTTTTTCTTGCTTCTCACTCTCCTTGAGAGAGTGAAACACACATGCGCTACCATGTAAGCTTTAAGGGTGCAAATAATTCTATTTTAAAATAGTTTAGGGAGGTAATAAAATCCCTGCAAAGGTAGAGTGTGTAGTTGGAAATTCAGCTATAGGCGAGGGGGTACTTATGCATTTTTCCCAAAAAGTATTTAAAGTTTGAAGTTGGAAAAGAGTATTTGGAATTACCAGTTAGGTCATGGTCTACATATATAATTTTGGGTTATTATATCACGAGGAGTTAACCTATTTTTCTTATTTTAAAAATAATTACTGATCCAAAAGTTTATGTGACTCGGTTTGGAAGAAATTAAAAATAAAGATCCATAGTTTGTAATATATTAAAAAAAGGGGGACATTTGGTGCACAAAGTATCCTGCATTCATGTAGGGTCCGAGGAAATGTGGTACCCCAAGGGGTGTGATGTAGACAATCTATCCTAATACAAGTATTAGTGACTGCTTTCACGGCTCAAACCCATAACTTATAGATCACAAGACAACATTAACGTCGCTCCAAGGCTCTTATTCAATATGTTCAAAACAATATTTGATAATTTAGAGTTTTGCATTTTCCCTTGAGAAAATAAGAGTATCTACTCTTTGTTTGGCAGGAGCATAGAATGGGGAGGTGAACCAAATAAGAATTGTTTCAATGAGACTAAAATGATAGAGGATCCAAATTATTGGGCAACAGATAGTAGAAAAAGCATAATGCAAGTGATTGGTGAAGAATTTGGTAAATCAAAAGTTCCCATCTCATTTCTCAACATCACTCAGCTCTCAAGTTACAGAAAAGACGCACACTCGTCAATTTACAAGAAACATTGGAATCCATTAACACCAAAGCAACTAGCAAACCCTTCCAGCTATGCTGATTGTGTTCATTGGTGCTTGCCTGGGCTTCCAGATACTTGGAATGAGCTTTTATTTGCCAAGCTTTTCTACCCTTGAGATTAATTTTACTGAAAATTGAAGGATGTTGTATTATATAACGTTCTCAAGATGGATGCTTGATTTGGGACAATATAGTTGTACTAAAAAATAATATCCAGCAAAATATATATTTCTATACATATTTTTTATATATTTGGCTAGGGAATGTAATATTTTTGGCCGACCGACCAAATATGTAACTTGCCCATAGATTTATGGGGTACTGAGAGAGAAATGGGGTGCGCAATTATCTAATTTAAGGGCTCATATGTACTGTTACGCGGCGCCTTCCTGAGATTTCTTAGAAGGGCAACATAAGGCTAAGCAACCGATATGCGTGTATTTACTATCCGCCAACAGGGATCCTGTCACGCCTCGAACCTAGGCCTGGACGTAACACGGCACTCGGTGTCTGACTACATGTGACCGAGCGAACCAACTGGCTGACTGAATCAACATGTGATATCATTACATACTAAATGTGGAAGATAAACTAACACATACTAATATGTTGAAAGTCGGAATGATAAAAAAATAAAAGTGTGGAAACACTAATACAAGTCTGAAACATGTTTGTAGCCAACATTGCTTAACACAAAAAGCTTGTGACTCTGTCTAACTGTTACTCTAGTCTATGAAGCCTCTAATGAAGTACTGAAAACACTGACTGTCTGAAAATACAAAAGACTGTAAGGTAATGATAATGCCCCGAAAGAACTGGGGATCACCAAATAGCTGGTACGAGAATCCTAGCGCTCTGAATCATCAACCTTTAAATCATTACTTGGATCATGAGATGCAGGCCCCGGGCAAAAGGGACGTTAGTACGTTTGAATTGCACTGGTATGTAAAGCAACTGAAAGAAAGAATTATAAATGCTGAAACTGAAACTAAGCTGATAACTGAGAATTGATAATTGATAACTGAAATGATAACTATTGAAACTAAAACTGAAATGATAACTAATAAATAATAACTGATAACTGAAATGATATCTGATAATTGAAATGATAACTAATAATTGAACTGAACAAAGAAAGTAAGGATATGAATACTCCCTCTTTTGAATGATGAACAACCTGTTTATCTAAATAAGCTACAGCCTCGGGCCCAATATATATGTGTACAAGCTACGGCCTCAGGACCAAAAATGCATAAAGCATAAACTACGGCCTCATGCCCAAACATGCATAACGCATAAACTACGACCTTAGGCCCAAGTATGCATAAATCATAAAAACTACGGCCTCAGGCCCAAATACAGGTGTTCAACATTTAGGAACTGAGAATCATACTGAAATACATGATGCTGAAATTCTGAACCACACCGAGTTACATGATACTTGAATGCTGAATAGAGCTAGACTGAGACATGTATTCATTAACTGATTATGAAAATAGAAACTTCAATTGCTTATGACATACTGAGTAGTCTAAGCTGAGACTCATGGGCATCAATCCCAAGTCTATATTGATTATGCATTGGTTCCACAACGTTTAGAATGAAAGTCATGAAAGAGTTATGAAGCTAGAGAATAGAAGTTCTACGACTATTTATGGAACTAAGGCATAATCACTTTCTGACGAAACTAGTAATAGTCATAATGAATGGGACGTAGGGAGAATCATAGACATTCCCAAACGTATAGAGAGTTAGCCTCACATACCTCAATTTTGCCCCTTAGTGATACTACAATGATCCACAATACTAAGAACCTTCAATCTACAATAGCAACATCCAATGGAATCCAATAGTAGTAACAAATTCCACAACTTAAGTCATTTAGGCATATTATCAAACAACTTGTAGGCATAAATCTCTACATCTCATCACCATATAATTAGTTCATCTAACTACCACCATTCATCAACAATTTATCCCACCATCATGATTAACCAATTTATAACTTCCAACATCACATATATGACCATCCATGCACACCCAACCAATAAAGTTCCATTAAATAATCATCTTTCAATCTCTATAATAGTTGTGTAATTAAATTGGGAACTTATGTTTTCCAATCATCATACCAAGAGTTCCAATACTTATTCATACTCATATTTCCTTAATAATTCCATACATGTAAGTGTAAGGGTGTAGGATTACCTTTTTGGAAGAAATCTTGCAAAATCCTCCTTTGAGTTCTTGAAGAAATCCCTTGAAGATCTAAGTATTTTATGTGTAGATTTCATCAATACTACTGTATAAATGATGGAGTTCACACCAAGACAATAGGGATTTCTTACCTTGAAGATGGGAGGGGTTGGAGGTCTTGAGAGAGTGGAGGAAAACCCTAAAATTCGTCCAAATGAAGTGGGGAAAATAACCCCCAAAGGTTTTATATCAGAATAGGGTCGGGTTAAAGAAAACCAAGATTTGCACAGTTGCGGCGCATGGAGCACCGCGTGGGGCAGCGCGGTAATGAAAAATGTGTCTAGAAACGAAATTTGGAAGTGTTCTGTAAATCTACAGAGCCGCGCCGCATGGGGCGGCGCGGTGGTATAAAATTCTGCCAGCGTTTGGTAATTTGGTCATAACTTCTGGTAACGGTTTGAAGTGTTAGAAACTAGACTGCAAGATCTTTCATTTGATAGATTGTGAATCACATAACACCTTATATAAATGTAGATATGCTCGTCCAAAGTGTGGTCTTATGCGTACTCGTTTGGAATTTTAGTCTATCATGTAATTTTCCAACTTGGCTTAGACTTAGGTCTCTCCTTGGACCCCAAATCACTTATGATATGCCTCGTACACTTATTATCATAACCAATTGATAACCATCACATTAATACTCATTTAATGCATCCACAATTGATTTAAATTTATAGGGTATTACAGATCCCCTCCGTATGCTAGACGAGATTGGTAGTGCCGTACGAAAAAAAAAATGTCAAGAGCAATTGAGAGAATAGAAAAGAGAATTAAGAATAAAAGAAAGCTCGATTGAATTAATAAAAGCTATTGCAAAAAAGCAACAAGTTGTCGAGGGGGAGAAACACCAGTACAGAGAATTGTTTGATTGTTAGAAAGTTTGATTGCTTGATTCCCCATAATAATGCTTAAACAAAATAAACCAAAGTTACAGGACTTGACATAACTAAGCTGGAGAGACATAATGAAAATACATGAACTATATTTATAATAGAAATGACTTAGATTCCTACAAAGAAGAAGCAGATCCGTTGGCAGCAACCTTGTCTTTAGCGTCATAGTTTGCGTGCGCGGCGCTGTTAGCATTTGCCTGTGGCTGGGCACTGGCGAGGGCTATCGGTGGAGCAACATAGGCACAGGCACGCTTGTCACTTGGCGCGGCCAAGACCACGAGGCCGTTCATGGCACTAGGCATTGGGAGGCTTGCCAGGATGCCATGGGGCGCGTCCAAGGGGTCATGGGGAATGGCTAGAAAGTCGCCCATGACATTCTCTTCCACCTGATTTGGCGACGTCCTCGATACCTTACTTGCAAGATGACCTTCGATTAGGCTCATATAGGCTTTGTGATTTTTTCCCCTCTCCCAAGTATTCTCCTCTATGTCACACCCCTGCCATTTCACTAGGAACTCTTTGTGATCATTCCTTGAAGCATGAATCACTCGAACATCGAGATTAGCTTCTACCCCGCCTTTTCCCAGTTGAATTAGGGCCTCGAATACTGGGTATTGTGAGTTGTCTCCGTGAAGGATCCTCTGTGTCTTCCCGAAAAGGTTTCAGAAGGCTGACATTTAAGACTGGAGAATCTTCCACTAGCTTGGGGTATCCACCCGGTATGCAACTTTCCCAATGCGCTTCTCTATGGACAAGGGTTCAATGTACTTTTGAAATAGGCGAGGGTCATTGACCCTTGCAAACAAGTATCTCTTTGGGATTTTCACTATCACCTTGTTCCTACTTGATATTCCACAACGCGATGATTTTGATCAGCATGTTTTTTCATCCGCTTTTGGGCTTTGACAAGATAGCTCCGCACTAACTATGAAATTCGCTTTCATTCCTTCGAGAAGCTAGTTTCTCGAGAAAACTTTGACATGTTTGGGGCATTCACAGTGTGTGGGAGTAGCAGTTTCTGTCCGATAACAATTTCAAAAGCGCTTTTGTTTGTACTAGAGCTCTTTTGTAAATTGAAACCCAGTTGCGCAGCATCTAGAAGCTTCACCTAATTCTTCTGCGATCCGGTAACAAAATGGCGGAGATATTCCTCCAGCATGACATTGAACTGTTCCGTCTGGCCATCAGATTGCGGATGAAAACTTGAACTTTCGCTCAACTTGGACTCGAGGCACTTGAAGAGCTGAGTCCAAAAGTAGCTAGTGAAGTGAGAGTCGCGATCAGTAATGATGTCTTTTGGCGGGCCCCAATATTTGACAACATGAGAGAAGAAGAGTTGAGCTGTATCTTCTGCTGATATATATTTGGGGACTGCTATAAATATAGCATATTTGGAAAACTGATCCACCACAACCACGATAGTCGTAAGATCTCCGACTTTGGGCAATTCGGTGATTAAATCCAGTGACACGCTTTCCCAAGGTCTCTTTGGAACAGGCAGTGGATCCAAGAGTCCCGCTTGTGTCAATCTGTCCGCATTGTCTTTCTGGCATACTAGGCAAGTCTTCACATACTGAGCAACTTTATCTGCCATTTGAGGCCAATAATAAGCATAGCGTAACAACGCCATGGTGCGTTCTTCACCTGGATGGGACCCCACAAAGTATCATGGAATTCCATCAGAAGAGTCCTTCATAGATATCCTCCTTTAAGAATATAAAGTCAGTTCCCTTTCACCTTAAGGAACCTATCTTCCATGTAGAGCTGGCGAGTCTTGTCCTGTCCTACCAAATTGACCAAATATTGTGCAACGGGATCTTTAGTGAGTAGATCCTGTATCTGATCTTTTATAGTGGTGGCCACTTCTCTCCCCCTTAGGGCGGCGAGTAGGCACACCGATGCTAGATCAGCTCTCCAACTAAGCACATCAACAACTTGGTTGGTCTGTCCACTTCGGTACTCCAGGTTGAACTGAAATTTCGCTAGGAGTTCCTGCCACATGGCCTGTCGGCCATTCAGCTATAGTTGGGTCATGAAATGGCTAACAACTATGTTGTTTGTCTAGACCATGAATAGGGTTCCCAGTAGATAGTTCC